AAAAAAAAAAAGTCCAAGCATGGTGACATGTACCTGTAGTGCCAGCTACTCAAGAGACTGAGGTGGAGAATTACTTGAGCCTAGGAGATGGACGCTACAGTGAGCTGTGATCACACCACTATACTCAAGCCTGGGTGACAGAGCGAGACCCTACCTCAACAAAACAAGCTCTACGTCTTCATTATGCCTCAACTATTTAACGTTGACTTTCACAAATTCAGACCAACTTTGACTGTAAGGCTCACATCATCTAATACCAGCCCAGTAAACTGCTGGCAGTAAACTAACATTGATAACTGTAACAGTAATGGTACTGGTGATGATGGGGACAAGAGGTTGGATAAAATTCCCAGCATTCTCGTTGACCTATCAAATGGCAGTTTGACGTAGTTCTACCTAGTGGTAACCAACACGTATCTATGCCAGGTACTCTTCTGTGTGTATTGTTTCATTTAATTCTTGCAGAAACCCTACAAGGTAGGTATTATTATTTCATCTTATTGGTAAGGAAATGGAAACACAGAAAGACTAAGTAACTTGTTCAGAGTCACACAGTAGAAAATGGTATGGCTATGATTAAAATCCAGGCAGTCTGACCCCAAAGCTCTAAGCCGTCATGCTATACTGCCCCCCAAGTTATTTTTCTGAAAACACACACGAAACAAACTGTCTTAAAGGCCAGTCTTTTTTCTTTTTCAACTGTTCCTCACTCTTCCCCACTCATGAATGTTCATGGGGGCTAACAGGAATAAATGAAAGGGCTGAGATGTGATATTATATATTTGAATGCTGTCAGATCTGCTTGGTACAGATCTCAGACAGGAGGGGCATTGTCAGTGACCGCTTCATTGGGCTGTCTCAGCAACACAGTTCTTCCTGTCTCGTAGGTACCTTTTGTGAGAGCAGGATGGCTGTTAATCTCTCAGCAGATCACTGGGCTCTTCTGTCTGCCCACCTGGTCAATTAAGTTCCACCTGTTGATATCATTTTTTGGTGCAGAAACTAGAATAAGGCCCTGTATTACCCCCGGTCAGTTTACAGAAAGTCTAGTTGGGTTTTGAATTGTAGATTTCATAAGGGTTCCCAGGTGCATGTATTGCTAAAGATTTGCCAGTAGAATTTTTTTTGGCCCTGCTATAAAAAAGTGCTCTGGCATGCTAGAGAATTCCAGGGGCGCTGGATATTAATGGCAGTGTCATTTGCTTTTTCTGTTGCAATACATCATGTCTTGTTCCTGCAGAGGACAGTTGACTAAAATTACATTTTTCTACTTTTTGTGAAAATTACTTTTCTTTGTAGTCCAGTGGTATAGTACAGTTTTATTTTCTGTAGCATTTCTCAAGAAAACTGACCAAGGGCTTCATAGAGGTGAATGATAGTAGAAAAAAGAGATATTGTGACATTCAGATGAGAGGGAAGCCCAGAATTTTCTGTGGGGACTTGAAATGAGATGGATAAGGGCCAAAGTGATAAATCCCTCTTGAAGAGGTGGTTCATAATGACAAAGTGTGGTGTCGATAAGTGATAAGTGACCATAGAATTGGGCACTGATGTTAGCACAGACAGACTTTCTGGAAGGAGCAGGGAAAGAAAGGAAGCACTTTACAGGACTCTGAAGTCAGTGGGAGAAGTACTAGAGTTGACAGTAAGCGTAACCTATTTCCTTTTCAATTTGAGAAAAGAGAATGTGCAAGGCTTTACTCCTCAGTTGAGTTAAAATACATAAAAAAGACATTCATGGCCCTGCACAGTGCCTCATGCCTGTAATCCAGCACTTAGGAAGGAGGCACTTGAGCCCCGGAGGTCAAGGCTACAGTGAGCCAAGATCACACCACTTGTACTCCAGTATGGGCAACAAAGCAAGACCCTGTCTCTAAAAAAACAAACAAAAAAGGGTCAGGCACAGTGGCTCATGCTTATAATCCCAGTACTTTGGGAGGCTGAGGC